CAAGAAAGCATCTGTAAAGGTCAGGAAAAAAGTTGTGAGGGGAGAGCCCTCTTCTACAGCACCCTCCACTGGGATGATCTCTGTTATACTGGCAGGAGACCCTGCCTTCCTCAGGGCAGTAACGCACTGTTCAGCCACCATCCCGATACCACAGAGCTGCCCCAGCAGACAGTTTGCTACTGGCCTCATTGCAGATTTCACTGCCAAAACAGCCCCACCAGAGCTGTCTCCCTRTTGGGGTCTATGTGCCACATGCACGGTGCCAAATCCACACCTAGGCAGAGTGCACTGGGGCAGGTCTGGGAGAATGACACAATTTCATGAGGAAGGCTGCATTCTTTCCCCTGCTTATTGAAAACCAGTTAAAATACTGCCCAGGTGCAGCCTGTCRCTGCCCTACTTTGGGCCTTAAGTCACTGAAATCCTGGAAAACAGAGCAGGAGACAAGTAAGGACGAGGATGGCTCGGCCTGACCTGGTGCTCTAGTGAGGTTTGTGCCTCTGGGTTGCCAGCTCACACCACAATCAGTTCCCAGACAGAAGCAGAGCCGAGTGGGGCTCTGCACTCAGTGCCACAGGGCAGAAGAGCTGTGCTGAGGAGTGGGACAGACCATGAAGACACAGTTTGCAGTTCTGTCCCTGGGAAGATGCCGCAGAGGCAAAGCAACTGAGAGCTGTAAGCCCCTGTAGGGTGAAGTATTCCTGGGGAAAGGGGCCGCAAGTGTGAAATCACTATGGATTTGAGACATAGACATGAAGCAAAGAGCACTCAAGTGGGTGTTCACAACACATCATTTCATTTCAATGGCATTTGGCATCAAATTGCTGTAAAACCAGTGGGCGGGGACTGCCTCTCACTGAAGAAGTTCATTAGATTATAAGTAATTTGGTTACACAGAGAGCAAGYAGAACCTGGGGCTGTTTTGAGGGGCTTTTTGAAAAAGGTCAGAACAATGTATCAGCCGGCTGTTGGGACTGATGGCTGTTGGGGAGAAGATAGTAGATATTTCAAGATACTGTACACTAGTGTATTTTTCTCCTGATTGTATATTTCCATCATTCTCATACTTAACATAAAAATATTTTGCAAAAACTGGCACAGCAGAGAAACCTATCAACTGAGTTACTGCCAGCACTGCTGCTGAAGTGACACACAGCTGCTCTGGAGGACCTGCAGGGCTGGAAGCTCCGGCATCTTGTGAAAGGGAGCTGGATCCAGCTCTCTGCRCCCAGCTCAGCAGGGGACAGAAGCTGATGCTTCTGCAAAGGCAAAACCCAAAACCAAATYGCAAGCACCGAGATTTTTCCTGAGGGCAGGTTAAGCCATGTCTCCTCCGGAATACCATACCTATCACTAACTCCTCTTTTGGGAAGGTGAAATATTGCCCTGGCTCACCATCCAGAACAGTGGCTGCTGAGTAGGTGGCAGGACCTTGTTTTTGAAGCCGTGCCAGCTAACTCAGCCTTTCTGCATAAGCATGAATAAACACTGAATTCCCTGGAAGCCTCGTGCTGATGGCAGCGGATGGTGTCCCCACCCGAGCAGTCCAACCCTGCTCACCACTGGACCGTTGCATGGATTTAAGTGTCCTGCTAAGCAGCAAGAGACGGAGATATGCTCYGTGTCCTGCAGGCTGGGGCTTTTGATGAACAAGCAGATTCACTACTGTTTTATTCCCCACAAAAATATCCTAGAATAACATCAGTCATGATTCCTTGCTACAATCCAGGTATGCCAGAAAAGAAGATTATACATTAAAAATTCTGTATGTGSTAGACATTTATCTGAATATATAAGATCTAAAAAATGTTAACTTTCTGAATTTGCTGAGATAGGGTGGTGCGAGTGGGAGATGGTTTTCTCTTGTCTGGTAACTTTCACCTTCTAGCTTGGATTTTAAAGGAAAGCCCTTGATTTGCTTAGTTACTGATGGTTTTTAGATTAAGCTGAATGAAAATAGAATCTGGTCACAGCCTRATTCTGAATGCTGTGGTACACTCTGGAGTCTCATTGGCTTGCATGGCACAACCATGCCATTCAAGACTGTTCCTCTGACTAGCCTGGCTCTAATCCTTCATTTTGAGGCATGGGTGAAAGTATCTGGACTGCATGGTTGTGAAAAATACAGCAAATTTAATCAGCCAAGTTGGGGAGAGTCAAAGTGCAAGGGCTAAGGGTGCCAAAACAACCACGGGTGCTAAGAGAAGTGTCATTCCTAGCCCATGCTGCTGCTGTTTGAGATGCACATTCCAGACTCCAGTTCCACCTCTGTCATTCATCAGTACCTCTTTTTTTGCTCGATAACCCCCTGCTCACCAGTTAAAAGGTATCTCCAAATATTTCACTAATACAACCTGAATTAAATTTACAAATTCTTATCTCCATCCTGGCTACACTCTCAAATTACTGTAATTTCTCCTTCTTCTCCTGTTACCTAATATTTCAAGGATTAACCGGGCAGTGTGTAACCTCCTCTAGTCCTGTGTAACAATGTCTGCTGTCTGTTCCTTTGTCTTAACATTCTCTAATGTGTCTATAGATTCCTGTGCTTGTTTTCAAGGCAATATCCAAGTGTGAAGCTGCTTTAGCCATTCATGAGGGTGAGATTTATTATCTAGAAGCACACCAATAATACAGTATTAAAAAAAAAAAGCAGTCTCTTTCATCAAAATCTAATGAACATGCGATTTAATCTTTATTAAGAATTCATTAGGTTCTCAGCAAGCCTGTCTAATGGAGCTTGACCAGGTGAAATGCTAATGCCTACATTATATTTAAATTAATTTTCAGCAATGTTAGTTTCCCCGCGTTGTTTCCTGCACATCGCTCTTGCCGGCGCCCGCGGCTGCGCGGCTCTCTCCAGATGCTGCTGCTGTGCTCATAGCAACACCGCTGTCCCCACCCCAGCCTCYGCACACTTCACTGGAGTTTCCACACTCACAGATGCCTCCCAGTTTCCAACAYTATAAACCTTTCCACCATAGCAGCCTCCTTGATGTTTTCATATCAGGTACAAAGCTGCAAGCCTAGCATGCCTTTGAGTCTTTTTAGTGCAATGTGTATGTATAYACACACATACACACATACATGCAAAACCGGGTATTTTTCAGTCCTCAATATACCAATCCAGTCCAGCAAACAGGTTATTATCTTGATSTGATTTGCTTCAAAAAACAAGAGCTCTGCTCTTTGGAAAACAAGAGTGATTGTACACTAATTGTGTAGTCAGTGTGGTCTCCACCTTCCCTCCTGCCTATGGGCTCTATGTGCGCACTCTGCTATTGTGGTACCTACTGCCTCTCCCTTCAAAACCCRTCACCCGCCATTCCAGCATGCTTCTGCAGAAGCAATTCCTAGAGATTAAATAATTTATTGGTGTTCATCTGCAGTGACATGTCTCCTGATCCACCTTTTGCACATAAGCAAGAGCAAACCAAACCCACCCCATCCCAGCCCCAAATTAAACTGTGGGGGCGAAAGGGGAGGAAAGCCCCCTTTCAATCAGTGAAAGGGGATGCTCAGACACTCTACAGAAGGAGGATACACAAACATCAATGGAGAAAGCTGCGGACAYTGCTGGCAACTGGAGGCGACTCTCCTTGCAGTGAGACCTCCCAGCCCCGCAGCGCCTTGGGAAAAGCACTGCCTCAGGCGGGGATGATGGTTTCATTGAACCCCCGAGGGGTGGACACCGTGGCCACAGAGTTGATACAGAAATATCCGGGTCACCCACAAAGCCACCCTACCTGGAGGGGAGGTGGGCTGTAGGCCCAGAGCTAGCCCCGTGGTACATGCACATGCACACGCACATGCACACCCACATTCACACACACACACACACACACATACGCACACTCACACACAACCCGGGGCGGCTACGGGTGCTCAGGGCAGCAGCTTGCGAGGGGTGCGGATCCCTTCGGCGATTCCCGAGCGCGGCGCGGCCGCCGCCGGGAGGAGCCGCGCGGTGCCGGAGGGGCCCCGCTGCCACCGGTTCGAGCCCCCGCCGGGCGCTGTCCAGCGCCAAGCGCCTGAACGCCGCGCCGGGACCCGCCCGTCGGCCCCGGATCCCCGTGCCGGGACCCGCACCCCGCTCCCCGCGTCCATCCACACCCATCCCTAAGCCTCTTCCCCACGCCAAGCAACCCCGGTCCCCGGGGGGCCCCTCCCAGCCACGGATCCCTCTGCAACCACCAGCATCGCAAAGCGGAAACCGCTCCCAGCTGAAAGCCAGACCCTGAACCAGCGCCCAGCCTCGTTCCGTGATGGCGCCCGCCTCCAACCAGCCCGTCATGTTTGTAGGGGTGGGAGGACGGGGTATTTCATTGTATTGTAATTTAAAAAAAAAAGGGTGGGGGGAGAACAGTCGCACCACGGGTGTACCTCCACCCCTATTAGCTTTCCCTGCACCTGCTTTCCTACGGGGTGCATTTATATCAGCCCCGGGGATGCCTGGAAGAGACCGTGCGGTGGGGCTTTTCACTGCCGTTTATTGCACAGTTACATCTAATTAAACACAGGAAGARGGTGTGGGAAGCCCTAGCGAGGAGCAGCACCGTGTACCATCGGGAGCAGAGCGGGAGAGGTTTGAATGAGATGAGTGGCCAAGCTCGTCGTTCATTAATTAAAAGAAGAAGGTAAAAGCTCAATAAAAGGGGCTTTCAGTGATAGAGAGCCTTGGTTTAAATCCGCAGAGCCGGCAGATAACACCCCGACATTAAGCTTAACTGACAGCGGTTCGCTTCACGGGGACATCTGCGCGGAGGGGGAAGGTGGGCTGCCGGCCTCCCACCACCGCCGCCGGGGGCGAGGCCGCGGGGCGCCGCTTCAGCACCAGCGGGCCCTGGACAGCGCCGGGAGCGGCGGCGGCCCCGCCGCGCTGTGCCTGCGCGGTCCCCTCAGGTAAACATGGCGCCCGCGGCCCTCGCTCACCTCCGCGAGCCCCCGCCCCGCTCTCCCGCCCCGCACCGCCGCTCACTCGCCCCCACCGCGGGACTTACTTCATTTGCTTCACGATGGTGCTTTTTCCCGACTCTCCGGCTCCTGTTGGAAGAGAGATGAGGTGGGRTAAGTGCGGGGGAAGAGGAGGAAGGGGGCAATGGGGGGGCGACCGGCGGGTTCTCACCGAGCAGTAGGAGTTTCACGTCTTTGGCCGCGCTGATCCCGTCCTCCTTCAGGTTCTTCTCGATGGCCTTGCTCCGCTCCAAGGCGGCTCTTTCCTCAGCACTCAGGGTACATCCCATGGCGGCGATGAAAATTTAAAAAAAAAAAAAAATTAAAAAAAAAAAAGGGGGGGAGGGGGGATGCAGCCCCCGCCGCCTCGGCTGGCTCCCGCGGGCAGAGAGGAGGAGGCGGCCGGGGGGCAATAAAAGAATTAAAGCAAATGGCCGTGAGGCTCCGGGTAGCGCAGCGCCTCCGCGGCGGGGCTCCCGGCTCCCTCCTGCCCCTCTCTCCCCGCGCCCGAGCGCTCAGTGCATCCAGCGGGGCTGCTGCGGGCACGGCGAGCTCTTCCCGGCCGGGAGGCGGAGGCGGAGGCGGGGGAGGAGGTGGAGGAGAAGGAGGAGGAAGCGGGTTGGCGGCGGGGGAGGGTCCGTCCCTCTCCCGTGCTCCCGGCTGTCGCTGTCCCCTCCTCGGCGGGCGGCGGCGGTGCCGAACAGAGGCGCGGGAGCGGCGGCGGGCGGGCGGAGGGAGGGAGGAGGGAGCGCGGGGGCGCGCCGGGATGCGCGCTCCCGCCGGCCTCGCCCGCGCCCGTGACGCGCGCGGCTCGCGCATGCTCGGGGCGGCTCCACCCGGCCCCGGGCCCGCTCCCGCTGCCCGCCCTGACCCGCTGAGATCGCGGCCCCGCTGCCCGTCCCCTCACCCCGCTGCCCGTCCCCTCACCCCGCTGCCCGTCCCCTCACCCCGCTGCCTTTCCCCGGACGGGTCTCGGGCTGCCCTTCCCGGTGACTCAGAGCTGGGGTCTGCCTTGATGGAGGGTCTAGAGAAGAAGCCATACGAGGAGCGGCTGAAGTAAGTTGGCTTGTTCAGCCTGGAGAAGAAACAGAGCTCATCGTGGGCTGCAGCTTCCTCAGGAGGGGCAGTGGAGAGGCAGCACCTGTTTCTGCTGTGACAGGACCCTAGGGAACGGCTGGAGCTGTGCTGAGCGGGAATTAAGTTGGATATTAGGAAAAGGTTCTTCGCCCAGAGCATGCTTGAGCACTGGTACAGGCTCCCCAGAGCAGCGATCAGAGCACCAAGCCTGACAGAGTTCAAGAAGCATTTCGACAAAGCTCTCAGGCATGGTATGACTCTCGGGGATGTCCTGTGCAGGTGTAAGAGTTGGACTCGATGGTCCTTGTGGGTCCGTTCCAATTCAGGACACTCCATGATYCTGTGGTTTGGCCCAGTGGTGCAGGGCTGAGCGCCCGAGTTATTGGGACAGAACAGCAGTGTGTGTGTGTGTGTGTGGGTGCTGGGCTCCCCACATGCCCTGAGGGTCCCCCACAGCTCCTGCACCCACACCCTGTGCCTGCCCCTGCCCTATAGTGCCGTGTTTGTGACCTGACCTGCCAGGACCCCTTTGGGAGCTACTCACAATGCAGGCACTTTGATCAACACTTGCAACGTGAATCGTTTACATGCTCGATGCAAAGCGTCAGGTTTCACCACCATGTTGGATTATGTTTTCCATCAGTGTAATTAACAGATGGTTTGAGTTTTTGTGTTGCAGTGCGGTCACAGACCTCACCAGATGACCTGCCTTCTTTTCATAACTGTTCCATGACATCTAACACTGATTTAAGAGCTCTAGTGATTTAAAATCCCACAATTTTCCTGGCAGGTTTTACCATTTCACAAGGTTTGAAAAGGGAAAAAAACAAATGTCAACAGGGAAAATAAAATAAATAGAACTTTGTTTAAAATGCTTTCCTACTATCCCAGACAAACCATAATACACTCAACTTTGATCCATAACATTGATTGATATGTGACAATCTAGCTATAAAAAGATTTAGAGAGGAAAGAAGGAAGTGTTGAGCACAGCGAGGTAAAATACATCAAAYTAAAATGAAGACAATCAAGGATTGCTACCTGATCTCTGGAAAGGACATCCACTATTTCAGCGAACAAGAAATCTACAAAGGGAGATTTGGTTGTTTGGAAGTAGTTGTGAATGCTGAGGCTGCTGATTTTGCCTCTTAAAAGCCACTCYACCTCTCTGCCAAAAAGCACAGGAGGCTTGACAGGAACATCCCTGTGCTTTGGGAAGGAAATGTTGATCCTTGCTGCACCRGGGCTGCCCCACAGGGGCTCGAGGAAGGAAGGGGGCTGCTGTTTGTGGTGTTGGGTGTGGGTAATCATGTGCTTACACAGTGCTGGTTTTCCACTTGGGATCTCTGATCACTGCCTCCTCTGTGACCACCTTACCTGCTGTCCTGAATTCACCAGTTTTCATATCCAGGACCCTTTCTTTAGGGCTAAAAATACTGTTTCTAGTAGCACTTAGAGTGCTTTAAGCATGAAGTCCCAGGCACKCTCCTTCCAGGTAGCCATCATCTCCTCCCAGTGCTGTTTCCCATCCCTTCTTCCTCACAGGACATGTTCTTCCCATTTTCCCTCCTCATYTCTGAAGTAAAAGGGAAAAACAGGACATGTGTTTAATAAGGTAAAGAGGGGGTATGAAAGAAGCAGGCAAAAGAAAGCAAAAGGTRASAGTGGATTCATTCARGGACCAGTAATATTGACCACACATYTGTGAACTAATAGATGCAATATATTTGAATTTTGGGTARTTTATTTCTGGAAGCTCAGGAGACTGAGATGGACAAGCAAGCCTRCAGCTTGAGTTCCGTGGGGAATAAATGGAGATGGGCGCGGTTATGGAGCAGTTCCTGCTCTTTCATATTCACACAAATCTCATGTGTAAAATCAATAGGATCAGAATTTCAATCAATAAGTTTCATTTCAATGGTTTTAGCCAGAGGGAATTACGAAAAGTGCCGTATAGGAAAAACACAATGAAGAAATCCAGAGGCAGTGTACTCATGAGATGGCTGCATTTTCTTCCTGTCTCCTCCAGCAGCTTGCCAGCCTTGGTCTCATATTGGGAAACTCTCCAAGGGTTTCACTAAGAGAATTAGTCTTTTTTATCAGCCTCTGGCTACTCGTTATCTCACAAATTTGTAGCCCAAGCCTCCTGCCATGGAGAAAATTATTTCTCTTTTTCTTGACCAGTGTGGAGTCTGCRCTCAGCCCTTTGTCCCATGAACATCCCCATTGCTACACAATAATCTACTCATTTCTTTCTTAAGGAAAAATCAGAAATTGGCAAGTCTTCTCCTTGCTCTCTCAGCTCTCAGAAAAATTCAGGGGAGCAGCTGTGAAATTGAGCCATTTCTGAGCCTTTTTCTTTTTCTTTTTTTTTTTTTTTTTTTTTTTTTTTTTTTTTTTTTTTTTTTTTTTTTTTTTTTTTTTTTTTTTTTTGCTGCTGCTCACTGAGCAGAGCTGGTGGAAATGTTTCTTTTGAAATTTTCTTAGAGGGAAATTTCATTTTTTTAAAAAATCTGCTTATTCATGGCAGATGAATTTCAAGAACCTGAAAGAAAAAAGGCTGCCTCCTCCACCAAACAAAATGCATTCCAGCCTACTTGGCTTTTGAGATAAATATGTTGGGTTTTGTTGCTGAAAAAGATGTTTCCCTTTTTCAGAAGCTGACAGAAGTCCTGTTTTAATAAAATGTGGTTGCTGGTAGTAACAACTTCAGATGAAAATAGGCTTCTTTTTTTCCCCCTTGTAAATAAGAGAACCTCTCCATTAAAGGTGAAGAGGATGAATTTTCTTTCTTGCTATTCCTGCAATTAAACTCTTTCATCAAGGTGCATGAAGATCATGCTTATTTCTGCCCAGGATCCTCTCTTCCAAACCTAAGAGTCAGCAGTGTATTTTAAGCAGAAGTCTTTATTCTCTTGTATCTGATCTGTGCCTCAGCAAAACCCRGCTTCTTTCTGCAATCAATTTTCAACCATTGTGCTAGAAAAGTTAATCTGATAGTCATTTCTTTAAGAAGTGAAGGATGGTAACAGAACTAATGGATGCCTTTGAAAAATTCTATGCCAAAATGATGTTGTGGGGTAGATTACAACTTTATGATTTCACATGTGTTGTCTTATCCTGGACAATTCCAGASTGGACTGCTGCCCTCCAGCAGACATCGCCATCCTGGGCTCTGCTACTCAGCTCAAGGCTTTGTAGAGTCTTCTGGCTTTCTTCCTAGAATCATTGAATAGTTTGGGGTGGAGGAGACATTTCAAAGCCATCTGGCCAACCCCTGCACACTGAGCAGGGAYAACTTCAACTAGRCTGTATTGCTCAGAGCCCTCCCCARCCTTGCCTTGAATATTTCCAGGAATGGAGCATTCACCACCTCTCTGGGAACCTGCAGTGTCTCACCTCCCTGAAAATCGAGCCTTTCTTCCTTATATCTAGTTCAAATTTACCCTCTTCTAGTGTAAAACCATTCCTCCTTATTGAAACAGATCTTACTGAAAAGTTTGTTCCCACAGCTTGCCAGGAGGTAGTAAAGAGGGGTGAGAAAACTATTCCATGAGTCTTGGGAAAGTCTCGTAGCTACCACGACACTCCCACCACCACAACTGAGGTTGCAATAGTATTGGAGGGAATACCACACTGGGTCCATCCCCGTAATTAGTTGATATTGTGGGATCAGAACATCCTCAGAGARCTGGTGGGTGGTATGAGGAGGGAGTGGGGCAAGCCCAGAATGATGTGACSGTAGGAGGAAAACTGCAAAGCTTTTCAGCTTGTTTTTCCCCTCCTACTTCAGGATTGTTCTGTCCAATCTATGATCTTATATTCCTTCAGTACAGTTTTAATGTACATTCTAATGGAACGGCCACCAATCCCATGGAGAGATAGTGATGCATTCTAGCAGATCTCACCATTAGGAAGTTTTCCCCGGATATTCAGCTTAATTTTTCATTCTTTAAATTGATGTCAATTACCCCCCAGCTAAACCTAGTTATGCAGTGGAAGACAGGTTTAAAATACTGCATGATCTCACTAAATTGGAGAAATGGACAGAAATCAATACAATGAGAGGCAATAAGAACACCCATAAAGGTTAAGTGGTTGATGGAGGAAGGATTAATGAAATGCACAGATACTAGGTTAAATTGCAAATGTCCTTACTTCATTCTTACTCACTCCATACCCCACAAATATGTTCTACTCCAGCAAATCAAATGAGGAAGCACCTTAGAATCTGACTAGTGATTTGGAGAAGTATAGATGAATATGAAGGGAAGGGAAGGTCTGGGGTGGATTTATTGTATGGGAAATTGGCTATAAAACAAGAATGAGACACCAAGAGYAAAATAAAAAGTAACTTGTCGATAAGAATATGACCTGCAGTATAATTGGTATCAAGAAGTAAGTTGGACAGCCTGATGAAGTCTAGAGAAATGCTGAAAAACCTACTTTGTGGTTAGTTTTTCATGACTGTCTGGGTGGACAATAACTACAGGACCTGGAAGTCACTGGCAGCTCCTGTCTTGGAATTGGGTGACCTTTTTGGGCTAGGGCTTATGGGGTTAACAYATTTGCATGGCAGAGAGATAAAACAGCTTGTCTTCAAAGCACTTGGAACTAACCTTAGAAAGTTTTCTGTT